AGTTAAAATCCATCTACTCCAACCCTATTGTTTGAAAAAGTATTGTACTGAGTGCTGTTTCTAGGAAGTTGGTCTGTATAACAGAGTTTACAATATCAAGTTTGTAATTCAACAGTAACTCCAGTGTAGGAGGAATGTTTTGCCTTGCCAAAGGAGCCTAAGGGCAAAATCTGCAGTTTGTTTATTCTCATTAGATACATTTTCCTGTATTAGCATGGAAATTCCCTATGCTGTTGCTTCCTACATATGCTTTTCCTTTTGCATAATAAGTGCTGTTGTATTGCTTTCTAACTACCATATTTGATCTTTAATTGCAGCTACACTGTCTAGTATTTCTGCTCTCTGTCTTTGCTACTCTTGAATTCCCAATTAAATAATCAATATTCAAAGCATTATTTGTTTAAATTTCAAGGCTGAAGTTAATTGATTCTGTAAACACGAGCAGGACAGATTTGAAAGCTTTGCTGGATTAATTCTAATGTAATGCGAAGGCAGGGTGTGAGGGTTACATGAAGGAGCTTGTGCTCTTGCTCACTCCTTCTCTAGTTTGGGTTAATTCCTAATTTCCAGTTTTCTAGTAAATTCCTGATTTTCAGTGGTCATGGTTCTTACAAATCTCTGAGTGCAATCTCAAACTATGGTTTGTTAAAGAGAGGAAATTGCACTAGAGTAGTAGAGAACATTGATGGTTTTAATGCTGCATCTGTACTTCAGTACTGCTATTACAGCATGTTTTTTGCTGGTCGTGTGTCTTGACCTGAAGTCATACGTTGAGAGAGAGAATGCTTTTTGAGAAATAAATGGATGGGACAAAAATCTTAACTTTAGAATTCCTGTGACAATGATTTCATAGGAGAGCGTTGTGGCATAAAAAAAGAACTGGGAAAAAGAAATTCCTGATTTCTTTCTGGGATTCTACATTATATTTCTTTTGTAATGCCTCTTTCTTATACTTCCTGAAAGAGGCAAGCTGCCATTGCTTTTTCCCAAAGGGCGGGAGTCTTTCTTCTGTTTCCTCTTTCATTCCTGACATTATCACATTTCCTCCTCCTTCTTTCCTTTACTTTGTTTTGGGGCTGAATGTATGCAGAGGCGAACAGTAGTTTTTTTAGGATCTTGCTTTTCCTCTTTTTCCCCTGTGCAAATTTCTTCTCACGTTTAGGCTTTGCTTTTGCTATGATCATAGAGTTTACTGGGATTGGCCCCATTAGTTGTTCCAAACTATTGCCACAAAGGCGATCCTGATAAAAATGATTTGCCCATTGCCATGGTGTAATGTGCATCATATGTAAAACCTTCTCTGGGTATTTAAAAGTGTTCCTAATAGTATTTTCTCCTTTCTTTTTGGACAGATCTATTGAACATAAACGTTTACAATTTGATCACTCTCCTTAAATTCACAAATGTGTTCCCTACATAGGGGTCTTTAAAACAAATTGCTTCAATATATTTAGGAGGGTTTTTATTGACCTCCTTCATTTTCAGTGTATGATGTTATTTTTTAAAAAAGGTTACTTTGGAAGTGAAGAAAATGCATGGATTCCGCATTCTTTCAATCCCTTAATCATTTAAAAGATCAGTAATATTAAGTTTGTGGTGAACCTTTCATTTCATGAAAGTTTTAGCTTTGTCTTAATACGTTTAATCAGCCGCTTTAGTGGATGGGGTCCTATCCTTGAAGATTGCAGATGGGAACTTGAGTCTGAAACATTTGCTGTTACAGTAAAAAATATTTGGACAAACTTGAGCAATTGTGTCAGTAATTCTAATTATGCAGATAAATTATGTATTATTCTGTTAAGGATTTACAGCATGTATAGTAACTTTTTAGAAATTGTACTGGAAACAGAAAGTAAGAACTATTGAAAAGAATGTTTCATCTGCTGTTCAAGGATAATCAGCATTTGAGTGGTCAGGAAAACTTATTTTTCAACAGTTATTCAATACTTTAAGAGTTCTATTTATTCAGCTGTTGAAATTGACAACTTTACCTTATGGGGATTGTATTAGATGTGTTTTAGTCATTTGAAGTAATCTTCTTAAGGTATCCATATGAACTAAACTGAATAATCACTCTGGTGAGAAAGTCCCATCCGTTTGAAGGGGTGTTTTCTGGTTTAGAGGGTTGGGAGGGGCATTGTATGTGTGTTTTCATTTCAGTCAGTCTTGATTCCTGTTGACTCCCTAGAAAAGTCCCTGCAGTTTTCTTGGCAATATTTTCAGAAATGTTTTGTCATTGCCTTTTACCTAGGGCTAAGAGACAGTGACTGGCCCAAAATTACTCATCTGGCTTTATTACTCATCTGGCAGGACTAGAACTCATGGTCCCCAGGTTCTAGTCCAATGCCTTTAATCATATGCCAAACTGGCTGTCCTTCTGTTATACATTAGAACTAAAATGGTACTACACAGCTGCTGTGTTCCATAAATGACTTTTTTGTATCTCTTGGAGCCTGCTTAAATAATCTCATGATCCTTTTAAAAAACAAACATCTAGCAATTTCCCAAGGCTGTCACAATCTTGAGGTGCTGATACCAGCAATGCATGTATTGCTCCTGTCCTTCACTGACAGGAACAATTCACCAAACTGTTCTTCTTTCAGTTAACAGACTGAATATTCCTGTGTTAACTTTCAGCAGATTGCAAATCCATGCAAAAACCCCACTGAACTGATCAAGCCATTGTACAAACAATGGTTTGCTATTATAGCAATCTGAATGTGCTTTGCTGTGCACCTGCACACTTTCTTTTACAGTGCTAAGTCACCAGCAATAGCTTGCTTTCTGTTATATGTAAACTAGATCAGTGAGTATCCCTAAACTGTGAACTGTAGAGGGCTGTAGAAGACAAGTGGAGTAGGATGAATGCTCCTCTGCTAAACAAATGATCTTTCCTCTAATAATTTCTCCATCTTGGCTAAATTAAGTCTCAGTTAAATGGCTTTCGCCCAATCCAGTACTGCATCCAAGCACTGATTAGCAACATGCAGCACAGAACCTCTTTTGAATTTGATAGAAATCAGAAAGAGAACAAATACTATCATTTTTATGCTAATGGAACTTCAGCCCAAATCTCCAGATAACATTGTCCAGTGATTTCATGTATAAGGAATTAAAAGGGTACCTGTCAGATTCTAAAAATCTATTGTCTAAGAAGCCAAATAGAATTTCTCCATTTAGGTGGAAAACAAACCACCACAAGCCTGTTCTCATTCCCAGCCTGCAGAGCTTAGCAGGAAAGATAGCACAATCAATAATATAAAAGGTTGCTGTCAGTTATAGCAAGAATGCATAACCTGAGGCCAACACATGTTCAGTGAAAATCATGGCCTCAAGGCCCTGCCCAAATTTGTCACCAGTTTGTAAATCTTCATTTAACACAGAGGAAAATTATTAAATTTATGGGGCATAAGGTAATCACATTTTAATTAAAGTAAATGCAATTTTTGTCTTGATCTGATCATTTCTCCCAGCTCAGACTATTTTTGGAATGGAACCTCCAACATACTACTCAAAAATCAAATGTGGCTGTTGCCCTGAAAATGTTCCTTTGCTAGGAGAATTTACAAGACTGCATTCCCATTGTTCTGGTGACAGAAGTCATTCCCCAAGGCGAATGTTGTAGTTTCAGTTCCGAAACTATGCTTGCAACCACACTGAAAATGGATCAGAAAAATCATATAAATTCTGTATATTTAACAGAAAAAGAATACTCAATGGTCCCCTGAGTTTTAAGTTGGTGGTCTGTAAATCTAGAAGATGAGCTTTCAGAAAAATAAGTGATATTGCAAATAGTTCAGAAATTAGTGCAATATTAGGGGAACTGAGTGTTAAGGGAACTGAAATATTGTAAGCAGCTGCCTATTGTTTGAAAGATTGAATGATGGAAAAGAACCAGTTCACATAATTCTGTAGTAAAAACTGGCAGTTTTTGATACAGAAAGTTCTTTGAGTTTAGACATGTACAAATAAAGATGCACCCACATCTCATGAAATCAATACTGTTGGGAAGATATCTTGGCAAAGATGCTGGCTTGCGTCCAGCATCAAACATGGCACCATGGTTAGGCTCCTCCTGCCAGCGAAAATGGAGAAGCAAAATTTCCCTTTGCAAGTTACTTACTGTCATGTGTAAACCAGAAAGTCTGTCTTATGTCTTGCAAATAAGCCAGATATTGGAAGCCAAGGATATACCACGTCTTCTCATTCTGATTTGTTAGAGAAATAAGCTGTTGCTAACATGCACATCACACTAAACAAACTCTCAGTAAGAAAAGCAAGCGGGAACGACCAAGCAGCAGATAATGCCAGGTTGTTGAAACCTGGCCACCAGATAAAAGCTTTCATTAGGAAAGAAGTTTGCTGTTAACAGGCTCACCTCAGTGTATTTTTTTGTTTATTCTTCAATACCAAATACAGTTTAGTATTTTTGATGCTTGCTACTGATTATCTGAGCTTTTATCAGAACTGGGGTACATATTACATGCCTCTAAACCATGTAACTTCAGCCTGCTTCAGTATAAGATTCTCTATTTTGCATGGTCTACAAATGCAGCAAAAGTTCAGGGTTTCTCCATCTTTTGTGCAGAAGGCAGATAAAATGAGCGTTGCAGACCAATATCCCAGGACCATAAATCAAACTACAACTATGGCAAATATGCTTCATTTTGAGAGATGAAAGTGCTGAACATTGAAGTTGTTCTCTGGAGGAAAAAAGTGAAATACGTGCACTTCTAAAAAAGACTTTTAGAAGCCTTATTCTGTCAGCTCTTTAAACATCCCTTGTCTACCAACTTGGCATATACTTTTGTTGATTTTTGTGTAACACAGTCTAGATTATGTCTGCAAGTTTCAGTAATGTAACTTCTTTTTTTATGTGAACCTCCTTTCTATGTTTATTAATACTGACCCATATGTGTTTATTTTGAATAAGAAACATATTTTTATTGCCATGCTATTTTGTCTGCAAAGTAATTTTGTTTTTTCTTCTTTTCTTTCAGTACTTTCCTGTATCTGAAGTTCCTGGTAGTTTGGGCCCTTGTGTTGGTGGCCGATTTTGTTTTGGAATTCAGATTTGAATATCTGTGGCCATTCTGGCTTTTCATCCGGAGTGTTTATGATTCCTTCAGATACCAGGGATTGGTATGTATTAAAATGGAAAAGTATTTGATTTGCTATTTATTGTTATTACTAGCATTAGAATTAGTAGCCCTCTGATGTATCTCTCAGTTGGGGTCCTTTGGATACGTAGCTCTGAAAAACTTCAGTGCAGATAGAAGAAGAGTCTGTGGTCTTTATTTTCAGCTCCAGAACATCCCCTTGTACTGCCTTGGGTGCTGCTTTAATAGGGTCTCTTGATGTTCAGAAGCAGCTTTTCTTCAAGGCTTGAGGAACTTCAAGGGGGAAAGGACTTCTGGTGTAAGAGCAGCTCTTTGGATTCCAGCCCTTGGGTCCAGCAGATATTTTGAAAACACCAGGTAACATGAGACAAAAGCACAGGAAGAATACAAACAGACTGCCTGTAAATGTCCAATTGTCATTTGTCTCATAGTTACCAAACATCATTAATACTGGGTTATAATTGTCAGTTGACAGTAGAGAAATAATGTTTTATATATTGCAGATGCCCTTAAAAGCACAGCAGCAAAAACATTTTAAAAGCATATCCCTTTTGCCAGACTTTTAATAGGCAATTTCAGGATTAATTTTATATGTTTAACGTTTGGGAATTTTAAAAAAAATGTTAGTCTTGAGCATTTGCTTGAGTAGAAAGACAGGGTATAAATCAAATAAATACATTCTGATCCAGCAAGAAACACTATGCCCCTGGATAAAAGAATGCTAATTGCTTGCTTCTTTTCCTTTTCTTTTAGTCAACTTTTGCACAATAACAGAAACATGCTTTTATTTTTATTTTTCTTTCTTATATTGGTCTATGAGGGTAAATTAAATTAATGAAAATGAAAATAAATAATATTTCATAAGCTACCCTGAGCCTGGTTTTGAAGGGCAGCATGAGATTTGAAAAATAATCATTGTGAATTTGCCAATCTAAAGAGTAGGCTCTGATTCAAATTGCTACTTACTAATGTAGAGTGAATTTAGCTAGCAATTGCCTTTGTGTTCTGAAACATAAAAGCAGTGACTTACTTCATATAGACAGTGATGGAGTTAAAGGAAAGATAATACTAAAGCTACATTTTTGTCTCTGTGTATATTAGAGTGAATCCCACTGAATTCATATACAACCCATGTACGTTATTTTCATACAAGAACCCTGATAGACAAACTTTTGTAGTGTAGGTTGAAGGTTGCTTACAGTCATTGGCTGAAGCAAAATTTGAATTAGAGAGACTACGCTGCTCCAGCAAGTCATTTTGTAAATTATATTGGAGACAAACATTCAGGACTCCATGTGAGAGAAGATTAGAGGCATGAGCAGTATTAAACTATTTACAAAAAAGAAATCCTCTTCTATCAATGGCAGTAAAATCTTAGCAATGAAATAATTATTAATAATGAGGAGGAAATTGCAGTCATGTGGCTTCCTTTGTAGAATGTATGTAAGCCATAATGGATGGATGGATGGATGGATGGATGGATGGATGGATGGATGGGAGGGAGGGAGGGAGGGAGGGAGGGCAGTGCCTTCAGTGAAATCTGTTTACTGTTTTTTAAAAAAAACTAATGGACTTTCTCCTTTTTCTCTTCTCCCCATCCTTTGATTCTCTTTAGGCATTTTCAGTATTTTTCGTTTGTGTAGCATTCACATCAAATATCATATGTCTGCTATTCATACCAATACAGTGGTTGTTTTTTGCTGCCAGCACATATGTTTGGGTGCAGTATGTCTGGCATACAGGTAAGTCCTCCTATTCATTTCATTGCTTCTGTTAAAAGTAAATAAGTTTACTGTTTACTGTTTACTGAACAAGTTGTAAAATAATCATCATCCTGTTTTTCTCTAAAAATCACATGTCCCTGTTAAATTAACATCCGGTTCACCCAACAGCACTGAGTTTACCCTTGAAATCTCATTCATTTGCCACTACGTATTCTTAGGATTGCCATGATCTCAACAATGAGGTATAAGAGGCAGGGTTGACATAATAAGTTTGCCAACTCTTGAAAGTCAGACTTCTGATGAGTTTGGGGCATGTGCGCTGTGTGTGGCATGTGATAAAGTAGAAATGCTAAGGCTCCACAGAATAATCAGGTATTTCACAGTTTAAAAAATAGAAGCTCTTCCAAATTATGAGTGAGATGGCGAGTGTGTTTATGCGTCATACTTCTCTATAAAATGTCTATGTATTGAATGCACATAATGGTGCTTCAGGAGGAACTACTGAGGCGTAACTATTCATCTGTGCTTTGGCAATGATTAACTATGTCATCAAAACACACCCTACTTCATAATCCACTCTGTAATTTGCAGTAGCAAACATCATGCAGGCCTGATGTCTGTATTTGTTTAATAAATTTCCAGTCTTGAAATTTAAGGTGTTGATTGAGAATGTCAGATCTCAAGCTTTGGGATTCAGTCAAATGAACTGTAAATTATATGGCAAGCTCTGAAGTGTCCTGATGGTCAGAATTCTTGCAGGGTGCTGGCTTTGTTTTTTTTTCTTCTTATCTTTAGGTAGCAAAGTTATTAGTACCCTTATAGTAAACCACCCTTTTGTTTTCCAGAAAGGTTGAAAAAAACCCTTCCCTAATTCCCAGCAGGCAAGGCCAAGACTGGCTGTATATTATAACGGTTTCAGCATATATGATGCCGGAGCCAAACAGTGCAGGGCAAAATTAGCTTTACTGTAGGCAGTTTCAAAAAAGTAGTTGTTATTAGTGCTTCTACATCGTTTCATGTCTCTTTGTTTTTGCAGTGTACTTACTTAGTTCTTTTAGCGATGTTTATCAGTGCATGATGTGATAAGGCGTTTTGTTCTGTTTTGTTTTTCACCTGGTTTGTTGCAGAGCTTGGGCTGAAAGGGTGGGACTGGCCCAAGATCAGTCCACTGGCTTCTGTGCCTAAGAGAGGACTAGAACCTGGGTTTCCCACTCCCAATCCAACACCCTGACCACCACATCATGCTGGGCCTCTATACAATTTCAAAAGAGTAATGGATCTTAGTGTTGCTCAGTCACAGCAAAGGATTTTCCCCTTCATAATTATACGTGCTATTTTAAGAAGTCTGATTTTCTTTTCTTTCTTTTCCTTTTTTTTTTAATATTGATGCTCGGCTTGTTTTCTGTTTCCAACAGAGAGAGGCGTGTGTTTACCAACAGTATCACTATGGATACTGTTTGTTTATATTGAAGCAGCAATCAGATTTAAGGATCTCAAAAACTTTCATGTAGACCTTTGTCGACCTTTTGCTGCACACTGGTGAGTGTACATTCCAGCATTTTTCTTCTCTTAAGCATTGTTTGACATAAGAACCTGAGCAGTGCCCTGCTGGATCGGACCCTTCTGGCCCATCTAGTCTAGCAGTCTGTTCTCACAGTGGCCAACCAACTGCACATGGAAGTCCACTAGTCTCCCAGCAGATGGCCTTCAGAGGTAGTCCCACTGTCATCATGGTAATAGCCATTGATTCCTATGATTAATATTTGTAACTTCATCTTACATTCCTTCTTACTTATTTACTGGGGTTACAGGCTGATCCAGTCTCAAGGGACTCTGAACAGCTTATATCTTTGAGCAGGCTAAACTTTTAACTACCATATAGAACAGGCATGCCGTGACTGTAGTTATAAAGTTTTAATTCTTCAGCTTTCATCACATTTCTGTAATAGGACTGGGAATGTCATATCAGAGGTGGACTTCTACATATGTATTTGTGAGTGGGAGCGCTCCAAAACTGTATGGGACAGTAATCTTTATTTGGATACAGTCCATGATACAGATCTCAGTAGTGCTACTTCTGATAACAATAGTTTTAATGCTCTTGCTTCATGTATTGGAGTTGCCGTCAGATATTTCCTGGCTGATACCAGATTTACAGCAGACATTTAAAATGGATATGCTTTCGTGTATTTAAATGCTTGTTTAAATCATGTGCAGCAAGCCAGGCAGATGTTTGTCCTGCTGTATTTTTGGACTTTGGTGATTTTTTAAAAAACAAACTTGATTTTCAAACTATGTCCATTTAATTGGAACAGATAAATAAAACTCTATGTAATAAAAACTTGCATCCATTGTGCACTGGATGTGCATTTCAGGTAATACAG